AAAATTTTAACGAAATATAAACAATAAAAAAAATTACCAAATGAGATGCCTCCTTCCTTTAATTTCTATTATAAAATCCTGCAAAAAATAAAATTGATATCAATATTAATTAAAACAAACTTATAAATTGTAAAAGAAATAAACTAATAAGATTAAACTTAAAGGAAGAAAGAAAATGAGCAAAAATTAAGGAAATGAAATTAAAGGAAGCAATGTATGAGGAAAAAAGAATGTGAGAACATGGATGAGAGGATGAGAAGCTTGAATGAAAGAAAAGGGAAAGTGAAGAAAAGAGAAGATGAGAAAAAGGAAGAAATTGTTGTACCTATGATTTTGATGATTACAAAACACATTTGAGTGACTAATTGATTTATTAAGTGTGTAGTTAAATTGTCAATATACTGCAAAGTAAGCAAAATGAGATTATATTGAAAAGGGCTCAAAGGGCAAAAATGTGCAGAGAGCCGACTTAAAAATATTGCAGCCGGCTCTGGGAAGCAAAAGTGCAGAGAGCCGGCTACAGATTTTGTTGAGCTGGCTCTACGGGCCAGAAATTCAATTGCTGTGTTGACGCGCGCGGAAAATGGAAGCAAAGCCAGCTCCAACTTTATAGCCGGCTATGAGGGCACATTTAATGCACAACAGTCGACTCTTTTGAAGAATATTTAATGTATTTAAAGTCGGAGTTCCAAAGTTGGCTCTCGAGGAAAACAGAATGTGCAGGAATCCCGCAAAGCCAGCTACAGAAATGGTGAGCTGACTGTACAGAGCCAACTCTAGGAAGTTAAGCCAGCTCTCCTGACAATCCTGCAACTCGAGCTTTGCGTTCTGTAGAGCATTTAATGACCCCCAACGGCTAGAAACAGCTATTTTTGAGCAAGGGGCTATAAATATGGTTGGTAACAAATATGAAGAAGTTAAGAGAGCATTGTATTGAATATCTTTACCTACCAACTTGTGCTTTAACTTGAGATTTTGATCTTTGAGAGATCTTTATTTGTAATCCTCTTCTTGTTCTATTTGTGAGTAATCTTGGGGGTGTGACTATTCCTTCAAGAGTGATTTTTAGAGAGGATTGTTTGGGTTTATCTTGTAAAGGGGTGAGATTTGAGAGAAACACCCTTATTCTTGTAAAAGGACTGAGTGGCTCCTTTAAGCCACCCTTGTTGTTGTTAGTGAAGAGTGTGGAGGAAATCCTTGGTGAGTGAAGCCAAGGTAGAGGACTAGGCTTTAAGTGGTTGGACCAAACCTCTATAAATCATTGAGCAAGCTCTTCTTCTCTACTCTCCTTAATTTGGGTGTTGTGGTTGTAAAAAGGGGAGAATTTTTGGAACTCCAATTCACCCCCCCTCTTGGAGTACATTGAGTCAACAATTGGTATCAGAGAAAGGGCTCCAATTTGAAGGTTTAACCACCTAAGAGTTGATCAAGGATGGCTCAATTTCAAGCTTCTCAACCACTTGGAGGTTTGTCTACCACTAAGCCTCCTTTCTTTGATGGTACTAATTATAATTATTGGAAGAATAGGATGAAGGTCTTCATGGTTGCAAATGTGCCCAAGGCATGGATTGTAACTATGAAAGGTCCATATGTGCCTATGAAAGTAGTTGGGGAAAGTGAGATGCCAAAGGAAGAAGTTGAATGGAATGATGAAGACTTGGTGAAGATCATGATCAACAACCAAGTAATCAATATGCTTCAATGTGTTCTCAATCCAACAGAATTCCATAGAGTATCTGGATGTCATACGGCCAAGGAGATGTGGGACATGTTGGAGGTAACATATGAAGGAACAAGCCAAGTGAAGGAGTCAAAAATCAATAGACTCATTTACATGTATGAGCTTTTCAAGATGAAACCGAAGGAGAGCATTCAAGATATGTATACAAGATTGAATGATATAGTCACCAATCTCAAGGCTCTTGGTAAAGTCTATCCTTCTCAAGAAGTAGTGAGAAAGGTTCTTAGAAGCTTGCCCAAGAATTGGGAAGCCAAGAAGATCGCAATTGAAGAGTCTAAGGATCTCAGCACCCTCAAGATTGAAGATCTCATTGGAAAATTGATGACATATGAGATAGAAGTTCAAGTTGATGGTGGAGTTGAAGTAGTTGAGAAGAAGAAGAAGAATGTTACTTTCAAGGCTAGCAACCAAAAGGAAGAGAGTGAAGATGATGCTAGTAATGATGAGTCTAGCAATGA